TGATGAAACATTTGCTCTGGTAGCCCGATTAGAATCAATTCGTATATTACTTGTATATGCATCGTTTAAAGGTTTTAAACTTTTTCAAATGGATGTTAAGAGTACTTTCTTAAATTGTTTTATTTATGAGGATGTATATGTAAAACAACCTCCTAGATTTGAGAACTCATAATTTCCTTACCATGTGTATAAATTGACTAAAGCTCTCTATGAACTCAAGCAAGCTCCTCGAACTTGGTATGATAGGCTAAGTTCATTTCTAACTGATCATGGATTCACAAGAGGTAAAGTAGATACTATATTATTTATCAAAAGATCTTTTCAAGGTAATCTCATTATTCAGATTTACGTCGATGATATTATTTTTTGTAGTTCTAACTCTCTTTTGTGCAAGAAATTCTCATATCTCATACAGAGTGAGTTTGAAATGAGTATGATGGGATAACTCACGTTCTTCCTTGGACTTCAAATTCGGCAATCAGAAAAAGGCACATTTATTTGTCAGACCAAGTATACTTAGGAGTTGATTCAAAAGTTTGACGTGAGCAATGCTAAAGCAATTGGAACGCCTATGAGTCCATCAACCAATCTTGATAAAGATGAAAAAGGAAAATCAGTGGATGAAATCAAGTATCGTGGAATGATTGGATCTATGCTATATTTAACTGATAGTTGGTCAGATATCATGTTTAATGTGTGTAAATGTGTTAGGTTTCAGTCAGTTCTTAAGGAGTAACACTTAACTGCAGTAAAGCGAATAATTCACTATCTTAACGGAACTATCTCTCATGGACTATGGTATCCACATTCTAACATTTTTAAACTTGAAAGATTTTCAGATGCTGATCTTGCAGGTGACAAAGAAGATAGAAAAAGTACTAGTGGAACGTGTCAATTGCTAGGGAAAACATTAATCTCCTGGAACAGTAAGAAACAAGGATCAGTGGCTTTGTCACAACCGAAGTAGAATACATTGCCATTGGACAATGTTGTGCTCAATTACTCTAGATATCTCATCAATAGAGTGAATATGAATTATCTTTTAAACCTATTCAAATATTTTGTGACAATTATAGTGCTATATGTCTCTCAAAATATCCTGTGCAACATTCTAGAGCTAAGCATATAGATATCAAGCATCATTTTATTAAAGATCATATTATTAAAGGAGATATATAATTGATGTTTGTTAGCACTATTGATCAACTAGCACACATTTTCACAAAACTCTTACTTGAAGATAGATTTTGTGTCTTATGGGAATCACTTGGTATTATTTCACTTAGCACTAATAATTAGGACATATGTGTTACTAATTATTTTTACTGTTATTTTTTAAATTATTTCCTTGTGTGTGTAAGAGTTATTAATTATGCGCCTCCATTTTTCCTTCTTTTCACATCGATCACGACTCTCCGAAAAGAAAAATCAATCATCACATCTATTCACTGACGCATTTTCCTTTTCTGCACTCAACCATCAAATTCACCCGTTTTAGTTCCCTCCATCACTCTCACTCTCTCACATTGGTACTATCGCTCTAAAACCCTTCTTCCCAACTCATCGATGGCGAAAAACTCCAAAAACCCCTCTGCCTATACTCGAAAGAGTACTCGCTTCAAAGCAAAACCCTCATCACAACCTCTAGAATAGGTCGATTTAGGGTCAGACTACTCCAAAGACTTTGCCTCTTCTTAGGAAGAGCTCTCCAATGATACGCGTAGCTTGAATGAAAAAGCTCTAGGCAAATACCCCATGAAAGAAAATCTTGAGTCCCTCACTCTAAAGAAGCCCAAAGCAGACCTCACGAGTTCTTTAGATTCTAATATCAACTTATATGACACCCCAAACAGAGACACCTCCATCGCATTCAAGGATAAGCCAATAGCCCATGGTAGGGTTATTGATTTGAACGACACGGAAGTTTTCAACTGCAAGGTAAAGGAATTATTTGATTTTCAAGGTTGGACAATTCTCTCTCTACCTCCCCCAAAGGTTTATGAAGCCCCGGTTAGGATGTTTTATGCAAATCTTCATTCTCCAAAACCTGACAAGTTAGAATCTTTAGTTCTTGGTAAGCGTATTGTTCTAGATTGTGCCATGTTTGATTCAATTTTTCAGTGTAAGCGTTCTGGATTTTCTATGTTGTTCAAAAATACCTGGCCTGAAGAATTTGAAATTTCCTTTGACCAAGCAAAATATTGCATAGCTGAGTCACCTACCGATTCCCTTCCCAGTCATTTAGGTCCCAGCGATAGTAGTTTTGAAACCCGAGTTCTCGCACACATTATGGCTATAACCCTTCTTCCTCGCACTGGTTCATTCTCTACCTTCTTCCAGTTGGATACCTTTCTTGTTTATTGCCTTATCACCAAGCACAAAGTTAATTTGTCATCTTGGGTTATAAACTTCATGATTGGGAGTGTTGATAATCCCACAAATCTTGCCTATGGTATGGTTATCACCAATCTTCTCGTAGCACATAATATCTCTCTTTTCAACTATCCATTTGTTTCGGTCACCAGATTCTACAACTCCAGAGCCTTTGCCCGTATGGGATATATTGTTGTGAAGGGTACTTGGGTAAAGAAGCAAGAAAGAGAAGCTAAGGTTGTTTAGACTAAATCCAAAGCCAAAGTGTTTGTTTCTCATCCCAGTGTTTGTGACCCTCATCTTGTGAAAAAGTTAACTGCTATTGACAACAAGTTGACCATCATTAAGGATCTTCTAGTCTATACTCGATCAACCATTGGAGATATTCATGAATCATAAAGGACACATGTTCTGATGTGTCTAAGATAAGAGTCTAGATTCTCAAGATAGCAGAGAACGCAGCCAAAGCCTTCAAGGAAGTGCATAACCGAATCGATGGGATATCAGTCACCGTGAATGCTAGCTTTGATTGTTTGAAGGAGGCTATCTACAATACTCTAATATTTTCTGCATTGCTAAGTTTGTGGATGGATGAATGGATGTTTAAGACAATTTTTTTATTTGTTTTGGACTGACTTTCAAGTCTTGGGTTGTACTGTTAAGATTATCTCTGCCCTAGCATAACTAACTAGTTCACTATTGCTTGTTTTAATATATTTTTGCTAATATAATGCTTTTTGTTGATGACAAAGGGGGAGAATAAGAATAGATACAACTTTTTGAATAGCTGCCAAGTTGAGGGGGATTCAACTATCACACGACCAACGATGAAGATGTCCAGTTGAGGGGGAGTCGACTATAACAAAATAAGAGTCGACTAATATGGATTGGGAAGTAAACTGCTTTTATTTGTTATTTGTCATCATAAAAGGGGGAGATTATTAGATCCAAGTTTCAATGATGAAAAATAACATATCTTTATTTGTAGGTCCATTCCAGGAGCAAAGGAGAACGAGAGCAAAACCATCAGGAAGACGAGAAAGGAAGGAGTAAAGGAAAAGAAGGAAAAGATTTGCAAAGATCTGACAACTCAGGCGAAGGAAGAAAAGAAAGGAAGATCCAAAATTAGAGGAGTCCAAGACTGCTGAGAATCCGCCTATCATAATCACTGAAGCACTGAAGATACGTATCTTAAAGGAAAGTTGTTAAACTCTGAAATCAAAGGACTAATCAAAGGTTGGTTGCTGAAGTGGGATTCGCTCGCAGAAGGAAAGCCTCGCCGATCAAGATTCAAATCAAGGAGGCTCCGCACTTATTCTTGGAATGAATCAACTCTGATTCACTCCATGGATTAATTCCTTTAGGACAGTAAATCTCTCAAGATATGCCGCAATTAAATCAAAGCAGATCTCTCAAGGTGTATATATTAAAAAACGACAAAGAGGAGTCGTATACTTTGATCGAACCAACTTTGTGCTCTTTGTTCTACTCTAAGCAAGCGTTGTAATCTGAGTGAGATTTACTGTGTAACTAGTAGAGAGAAGAAAGACAGAAAAATATTAGTGAGGCATTGTATCAAAGTTACAACGAGTGTACTTAGAACCAAAAGGCAGTTGGTGTTCGCGATAACACCAACATACTTGTACGAAGTTTTCAAGGAGCTTTGAAGAGAGAACCCTCTTGCAACCCAAGGGGACTGTAGTAGGATTTACATTGAATCTGAAACAGTATAAAAATACTTAGTGTCATTTAATTTCTGCACTTTACATTCTGTCTTTAATTTTTACCTAGCTTCTACTTTCAGTCAACTACTTAGCAAACTAATCAACTACTTAGCTATAAAAAGAAAATTCGACAATTCACTCCCCCCACACCCCACCCCCCACCCTTACTTTCAGGTATTGTATTAAGCACCATTTGTTCGTATGTCATAAGGCTGAGAGTTAACCATGTACTTAACATTGTCAGATAGGTCTATATTATGTCATCGTTTAACATCTGAATGTTTATCACTTCCCCTGTCCAATCAGGATTATGGCTAATTCTCTCGAGAATCTAACATGTCATTAATCAATTTGAATAGCTAGTGTTGGTGATATGCTCCAAACATCATTTGGCAAACTTGAACTGAAGGATCCATACTATCGGATACTGCAATCAGTGGTTAAACTTCCCTCTTTTTCTCCCAATGTCTAAGTTTGCAGGTGTAAAGCTGTATATTTCTCGTGAATTTGAAGCTACCATTTAGTACTCGAGGGTAGGGATATTCTTATATTCTGTAGAGCACAGCTTCACAGTATGGTGAGTTCCGATATTACTACAAACACCACCATATGGCATGAGTCGAACCAGATCACAAACTAGTTGGGCTTGGGTAATGCTTGACTGATTATTTCATAATGGAAACTCAATATAACAGCTTTTAGCAATTCGTAAGTACCCCACCATTCTTAATTTTACTAAGATACAGAGGAAACATAGAGTATTCTACGCTGGCATGCAGGCCAATTTCCTTTGACATTTTTTTCTTTTGCCCTGTTATTGATCATCTGGCCAAGAGCTCAAATTACCTTTCCATCTTTGGACAGGACATCGAAAAATACAATCTCGAGATGAAGATGGTTCAGTCTTGACGGACTTTTGTTGCAAGAGCAATTCAAGAATATACACCGGAAAATAGTAATCAAACTCAAAGATATCAATGTTAGAGTAGCACTGCAAGTGATCGAAGAACGTCACCGCTTTTTATACAAGGACAAACCATGGGAGAATTTTAAACTATCAACGACAATATAACTCTTACAAGTGACTACTGTCAATGGGCCATAGAAAAGCAAAAAAGGAGATTTATTAAAAGTAATATGTGAATTCAGCAGTCCACTGTAAGACAGGATATTCCTTGTATCATTATTGCTCTTTCGGTCTTGGTTGAGCTAAATTTCTCTGCAGAATGAAGAGTATAAAAGTTAGTAACCTGTTTAAAATCGAAAAAGAAAAAAAGCAACTAGAAGCGATAATCACCCTTGCTTTTCATCCCTTTAATGCTTTAAGTGACGATGTGGTTAGTTAATTGACAATTTGACACTACCATGACTTTTGAGGGACAAATATCCCAAGAACTGCGAGTTTTTAGTAGTACAGGACAATGTCTAATGATTGCTTCAGTGAAGAGGTTGTGATGATTTACCTGAGCAGATATAGACTTTATGATTGAAATCAACAAACTGTTTCCTGCTACTTGGCTCACTTGCCTTACAAATTCTTGCGCAGTGGTCTTCCCCTTTTGACGATCATTGTAATATTCTTTTATCAACTTGATAGCATGAGAAGGCAAGATCCTTGATAATCTAGTGATCAAAGCATCAACGGAAATCCTTAAATTTACATTCTTTGAAAGAGTTGGACGATATTCATCAACCCCTTTTGAATGAGGAGAAACTCTGACACTGACTATGACTTCAGGGAAGACATGTGTACTCAGGCGACTACTCCAAACTATATACGTTCTTGGAGATGTGAAACTGTCAACCCCAGAATCAAGATCCTCAGAACTTGGTTGAAACTGTCCTGAACCAGGAATTACTAGTTCCGATCTTCCCAATACCAATTTGCAAAGCAATAAATGTCTTAGTCCATCCTTGTCTTGAACAGCAGTTTGAAGACAATCAAGAGGGTAATCACGAGCAGAAAATTGAACTCCATGGCGATAACTTAATGGAACAAAACCATTAGAAATTATGTCAATAATTTTTTCCTTCGAAGTTCCATACCAACCAAGCTTCTTACTAGCATGCCCATTGTACTTTTTCTCCATGGTTTTTGCAACAAGAAGGAAAGATTGAAACCTTGTTTGTGAAACAAAGCTGGAACGAACATTCATATGAATTGCCTCAACTTGAAGTGATGATCCTAGTGCACCTAAACCAGATACAAACTTGTCTGTTACAACTTTATACACCTTGTGGTCTTGATTGAGTCGCACCAAGTCATTATTACCAAATAACTGAGCTCTTTCTTGAGTTTTACTGCATGAAACCCCACACATTCGATCTGTTGTTGTCGGACTTCGTACTTCAATTTTGTTACGAGGGTTGCTGCTTGAGCTTGCACTTTCAGCTGGATCTTCAAGTCTGCGCCTTTTTGCGTTTAGCTTGTTGGGCACCATGGTTAGTTCTGGTGAAAAGAGGGTAACAAAAATCAGAGAAGAAAGGATAAATTCCAACTACTAATATATAAGAGCTAAATCTCCCTACAGGTTTATTGGACAAAGAGGAAAAGAAACAAGTAAACAACATGTATTGCACAAAATAAAGGATTATAAGACACTTACATAGTATGAAAGTAAGTGCAAATCCAACAAGAAATAGGGAAGAAAAATTCCTTCTTTTGGGAAGTAAAACTCGACTTCTAACCAACATGGAATTTGAATGCCTTTCCTTTTTGTAGGACAATAAGTTTAAAATAGATAACCTTCTAAATTTCTAAAATATGCTATGAAACAGAACTTGTGTCGGTATATTTATTGTTGTAGTTTGACTCCGCACTTATCATAAAAGTAAAATTGAAACTAGACGTGCAATTCTTCTGACATATTTTGAGATCCTATAGGAATTAGGAAAAAGTTTGCCCATATTACTTCTGAAGTAGTACTAAATTCGCTATTCAATTTAAGAGGGTAAGAATTATTTTTCTTGAAATAATTTTGCTTTGGTCCGCATCAGTGAGTGAAAGTAAAATTTAGAATGTGTCTAAATTCATTGAATACTACTCTATTCTATCCCTTCCGGTTTACCTAAACCTATTTACTTTTTGGTCCATTTCAAAAAGAATGAACCCTTTCTAAATTTGAAAATAATTTATCTTGCACTTCCAATTCTACCCTTAATGAGAAACTTTTATAAGCACACAAATACTCTTGACCCATTTTTGACTTATTTAGAACCACAAATTCAAAAAGTATTTATTTTTTTTAAAATTATGTGCTCAGTCAAACAGATTCATATAAATTGGAACGGATGGAGTAATAAAAAAGAGTATTATAAAATGTTCATTGGCTTACCATAAAATATTACTATTCCCATTTATTTCCTTCTTCTTCCTTAGCTCTATAGCAATATACGATTACATTATTCCAAGAAATTAAGAATTTATTAATTGTAAATTTCTTGTTAAATCCATATCATCATAGCCCGCAAATTGAAAAATTGACGAATAAAACAAGATAATTTCAAAATATATTATACGCACAAATAAGCCCAAGTAAAAGAAAACTTCAAAAACGCAAGTAACACCCATCGCCAAGTCAAGGTAGATTGCAAACCCACATAATTAAATGATGAGATTTGGTTAAATACTCNTAGGATGAACTGAACTCAGATTCTATTCCAGCGTCGGCGAGATTTAACGGCAAAAGAATGGTCGGCGAGATTTAACGGCAAAAGAATGGTCGACGGGAACGAGAATCTACAGATTTACGGGCTTTCTGAAGATTGGGGGGCAAATCTTTTCACCAAAATTTCCTTTATATATATTGAACTAACACAAACGGTCATATAACCAAATGGCGGGCTTTCTGAAAATTTGTTGCAATTGACTTTATTTCGAAACTTTTCATTTGTTTTCCCTTTTTATTGTGGATACTAAGGCACCGTTCGTCGATAAATTTTGCCAAAATAATTTTGGATTTTATTTGTCAAACACATGTTTGGTCATAGATTTTGCTTACATTTTGGCAAAATTCCAAATCCCAAAACCAGCCAAAATATCACTATTACATTTTTTTAAATTGCACCAAACTTTTGTATTTTATAAAAGAGCCCACCATTTATTATTTTGTAACAATGTTGCTTCGTCTTTTCGGTCACCTAATAGTGTATCATGTAGTTCATTATAAAAATGATAATTTTGTATCAAATTTATTTATGTTCAGGACTATGGTTTGCGATAATATAATGAATGTTATTGATAATGATACTATTGGTATTTGTAATAGTTTTTAGAACTTGTGGGTATAAGTCATGTTTCATGTTTTTCCAAAATAAATTTGGGAAATATGTTTTGAAAACTGATGTCCAAACACATTTTCATCTTCAAACCAAACTTTACCCAAATCAGATTTTTCAAAACAAATTTGGGAATCTATGGTCAAACGCTAGCTAAAATGTTAAATTACTAAAATACATTTTTAAATAACCTAAATATCCTACTTAAAAAAAAAAGGAAAAACAGTGATGCCTACAAACTACTACATTCTTTTTAAAAAACAAGTACTTTACCTAGGAGTTGCTATTTTTCTTTATTTTTTTTAAACCGAGAGTTGCGAAGCAAGAAATAATAATAATGAAAAAATGAAAATTACACAATTTTTTTGATTTTGCATTTTTCATTTTTACATTTTTATAGTTCTTTTAAAACTTCATCCAAAATGTTTCCCTGGTAGAAGAAATCATATTCTTTACTTTTTTCCATTTTCACTTGCCTTGTCAAACTACTTGTTGGCATGTGTTGGTTGGGAATGCACAAGTACAGACTTTGTTTTGTCAAAAACTTAAATTAAATATCAGCTAACTGGGGTTAAGCCAAATATTTTATCTAACATATCTCAATGTGGATTTAAATAGCGTGAAGAAGTTCTCTGTTTAGTACTTCAGCAACACGGGTTTGTTCCCAGGTTTGGAAATATTATTTTCATAATAATAGTATCTCTTTTTAGTAATTCACTATTTTCATAATTTATTCATCAACAATTGCTAATTGTACTCAATGCTTTATTTTAATATTATTGATATTTTTTTACAACACCTTGTATTACCAAACTCGGCATGCTGAAAAACTGTTACTATTAAACATTTGAATGAGATTTACAATGGTTCAATCTTTATGGACGCGAAAGTACTTTTATTATTCAAGCTCTTATTTATAATAACAACAACAATAATAATAATTTTAGTGCTTGAATTTTGAGCGTCCTTCTAACTTTGAACCACCATAAAGAAAAACTAAATTTAAACAAGGGATAACTGCATTTTGAATCCCTCAGTTATTGGTAAATTTTAATTTGATTTTCAAATGGTTAGCTAATTGTTGCAAATTACACTGGGTGTTTTAGTGGCATTTGGACATAAGAATTGTAAAATTTCCAAAAAAAAAAAATGGAAAAAAAATTCAAGTGAAAATGGTATTTGAAAATTAAAATTGTGTTTGGACATAAATATAATTTGGATTGTTTTTGAAGTTTTGTGAGTGATCTGAGTGAAAATTTTGAAATACAACTTCTTGGAGTTTTTCAAATTTTCGAAAAATTCCAAAATTCATTTTCAAGTGAAAATTGAAAATTTTATGGCCAAACACTGATTTTGAAAAAAAGTGAAATATTTTCGAAAAAAAGTTGAAAAAATTCGTATGTCCAAACGGGCTCTTAAGACTTGTGAAATTTTGGGGTTCGACAAAAAATATATATTGTCAATCATCAGTTCAACCATAGTTTCTCTCTTCTTCCCTCTCACAGTCCAAAATTCTGCAATCGCAGCTGTTTTAATATTGTTTACCAAAATAATTTTCCACTAAAAAAATCTAACGGGATGTCCAAAATAATGGTGTAATTTATTGTTGGATCATCAAACAAGGTCTGAAAAAACAAGTGCCAGTTATCCATCTATTCATTAATGCATGTACAAAAATTAATCTATTCTCCATTTGTGTTTTTCTTTCTCTATTTTAATGAATTACATTAGAAGGGTCATTTGGTAATGAAAGTAAAACCTTTTGAAGATTCAATTGGAAACAAAAATTACAGTTGGATGTGAAGCTTGTAGTAGTTGTAAACCTCCAGATTTTTGGACCGATTAACTTCATTGTGTTATAGCCTCTTTTGCTTCACTCTGTGTGACCTTGGCTAAATCTTCAGGATCACGAGTTGGTAGACCAATAACCACGTTGTGACAGCGGCCACATAGCAAAGGATGCTCAGCAAATGAACCTACTTGAGGTGAATAATTCCAGCATCTGTCGCATTTTGAGCCATCTGCACGGGATACGCCAATCCAGATTTTGTTCCCTTCTTCGATGAGGTACTCTCCGTTGTACTGAACATCTTTAATCCTTTCATCTTCCAAGGAGTTGAGAATCTCCACCTGCAGAAAGTGCAAGAACGTACTCGTATAATGTATCAAATCAAGAAAATCATAAAATCATGTGCTCAAAGAAACTCTTTTTGCATTAAGTTCTCAAACATAACTTCATCAAGTAAACACAACATTTCGATTATGAAGTCCAAGAATTCGTAGACAGAGACCATAATATTCAAGTGGAACTATTGCCACAAGTGTGTAAACAGAGTTCAGCTAAAAAGATGACCAATACTCATTGCAAGTGTGACCAAATATTTTTTTGAAGAACTTCAGGGGCAAATCAAAGTAGGTTTTCAAGAGGATTTGAATTACTTTGTTTCAAGCTCAAGTGAGCTCGGCAACAACATAGCAACTAAAAGAGGGGAAAAGCTGGTGCTCGTAGAGACATGGAAATTGACGCATTTATACCATGGCCTATAGAGCCTTGAGCATCAGTCATAACTATAGTTGAAACGAGACCGCAGTATACCTGAGATGTTATAAATATGCGATTTAGAGCATCTGCATCATTTGTAGGTTTGCACATTTTCTTTAGTCTCTCAGCCAGGCTTTCATTAGAACAGTAGAGATACACCTTGGCCTCTAAGCTGGAGCCGATCAATTTTCCATTTCGAGCTACTTCCAATGCTTTGTTAACTTCCGTCCTTAGCTGGTCATAGTTGTTCAAATTGCCATCATCAGATAACGATTAATAAAGCAGGTCGAGAAAAGGAAAAGTCGGGACCTCCAAACGAACAGCAATTCAATAGAAAGTGAAATAGGCTCTGTTTGGCATAAAGAAAAATGCCACAAATAGTTTAAGTTGTTAAACAGAAAGACATCTGATGTAATAGACTATAATTTCGCAGCCCCAAATTATTAAAGCTACCAAAGGGCTGTGGAATTCTTACATGGAGTGCATCATAGAAATATAGAGATCAGCTGCCTTTGAGCTTACTTAAGCAACTGGTAGCTAGACTGGAATACTAGGCCAAACTTAAGTTTAAACAACTGGTACCCGATTGAAAGATTGGGCCAAACTATGTGGAGTTATCTGTATCAAAACGTCTTCGTATAGAAATTGAGAAGCTTTAGTCAATATCCCAGTACTCTAAGGGGCAAGGATAAGAGGAAAATATCACATTGCAAGGAGTCCTAAGCCAATGATGTTTTACACCTATACTCTTCCTTTTTTTCTGAAAACTCCTAGTCATCCTATACACGAGGGATGAAAAAAACCTATATTTGAGGGAGATGAGTACATGAATAACATCAATTTGCAAGGCATTCTAACC